CACAGTAGTTATTCGTCAAATACTTTTTGAATCACTAAAGCCACTGTGACCCTGACTTTGGGGTTAATAAGGGGTTAATCTCCCACCCTGGGGCACAGGATGCCCAGGTGCCCCCTCCCTCTGGAAAGGAAGCTGGGAAAGGAAGCCCCCACACCCACCCCTGGCAGCCGCACGTCCCAGGCTCCCAGCGGAGTCCGGATGCAGGAAACAGGCGGTCAAGCTGTGCCAGCAGAGACGCAAACCTCAAACCGGAAGCCTGGACCCCCACGCTCGCCCAACTCTGTCCCTGTCCTCAAGGGGCAGTCCCAGCTGCCTGCTCAGCCCTCACCAGGAGAAGACACTCAGCACCTATGCCTCCAGCATCCATGGGTACTGGGACAGCCGTGCTGCCTTGAGCCTGGTCCCAGGGGGTTTGGCCAGTCCTGCACCATGCTACACCAGAGGGCATCACTCACACGGTACTGTGAGAATGGTGGCCCCAGAGTTGTGCAATATTTAGGGTCTGGTCTTGGCGAACTGAGGCCAACTGCCAGGTCCAGCCCCGCTCCACACTCTTCACACAACCAGCAGGTGCCTCGGTTTCTCTACCCAGCTTCCCGGCTTCCTGCAGGCCCTCAAGGCCCCATCAGACCTCTTCCCCACAGCCTGGACCCTGGGGCTTGCATCTCCCTCTCCCGGCTCCCTGCTCTAGTCCAGCTTTCAACAGCCACCAGGGTCAAGACAGAATTGCCTGGGCCACATCAGACACTGCCCTTGGCCGCCAGCAGCGTAACAGCCTGGCCTCTGGCCTGCGTGCCCTGCCCTTACCTCTTCCAGCGTGTTCATCTGGGAGGCCACCTTGTGGACGTAGGCATGCACTTTCATCAGGTCCATGCTGTACAAGGCGCCCTCCAGGAGATCCACCATGGACTGCAGCTGCCCAGGGAAGGGTGAGGGTTAGGGAAAGGGCAGAGCACAGGGCCTGGCACTAAGGGTGCAAGACTCCAGAACCCCAGAGCCTCAGAGTGGCCTGCTTGGGCCCTCAGCACCCAGCTTGCTCATAATCACGAGAAAAGCTGTAAGCGTAAAAAAAAAAAAGAGCCACTTGTCCCTGGGAGTATACGTGTTCCTACATGGCCATTAGGAAATGTCTGACCAGTGTGGGCATCCAAACGCCAGCCCCAGTGGGACAATTAAGCTGTCATTCACACTCCAGTGTCCCCTGGGGCTGAGGCTGACACCTGGCCTGAGACCACAGCCCTGCTGGGCTTCCTTCCCTTCCCCCCATGTCTCCCAGTTCGGTACCAGTTTCTCCTGGGAGCACTTCTGTACCAAATCAACTGCGCAAGAATCACTCGCCTCAGGGTCTGCTTCTAGAGACCCCACTGAAGACAAGGTTTAGACGCCTTTCATCTTCATCGTACTGGTAGAGATGCTGCAGCTTAGAAAGATGCAGTGACCCGCCCAAGGCCACCCAGTCGTTCAGTGGTGGAGCTGGGAGCAGAACCCGGCTTGGTAAAACCCAACCTCTTTCCTGTCATGCTTTACTGCTCCCGTCTTATGTTCAGAGAGGGAAACTGAGGACAAGCAAGGGGGAGAGACTTGCACAACAGGTCCGTGGCAGATGCTGGGTCTCCCTTGCCGAGCCCAGGGCTCTTCTCCATAGCTGCCCCTCTCTTTCTCCTCTCCATCGCACCTCATCAGCAGATGACATTTCCCTCCGGCTGGCGAGGATGCCAGCGAGAGTGTCAGTGACGCCCTGGCACAAGGGTCCGGTTGGGAAATCGGCTTCCCCTGGCTTCCTGGGCAGGGTGGCTCCTCCAGCACCCCCTCCAGCAGGGCTCTGCCCCGGCCCTGCCACATTTCTCAGGGCTCCTGTCTGGCCCTGGCCCGCTGTTTCCAAAACAGTTTTACTCCCACTCTCCCAGGGGTGTTCAAGCTGTTTCAAGCCAGAGAACTTTTCTCTGAGTAGACTCTGATCTCTAAAACAGAAAAAGGGAGTGGGGGTTCCGCTGGAAGCAGGGCTAGGGCCTTGAGTCTTCTCTGCTCCCCTTCAACCTTGCTCAGGCCTGAGGTTGCACGGTACCCGTAGGGCTCCATGGAGCATAGAATGAGAACCATGCACATAGACGCTCCTGTGCCTCAGCTGCCTTCCCTGTGAAACGGGGTGATGGGGTTGTGGTGAAGAGCAGTGACGTCTGGGCAGGGCTCAGCACAGACGGGGCACACAGCAAGCGCTTCATGAACATCCGCAGTAATGATGACTTACCAGGGGGCTCACTGGGAACCTTCCAGCTTCACTCTGCTGACTTCGCGGCCGCCAAAACTGGCTTCCCAAAGCACAGCTTTGAACCATGGGTCTCTCCCCTGCTAGAGTACTTCCTGTGGCCCCCCCACTGCCTACATGTGGCTCCTCATCTCCTGAGCCTGGCATTCACACCGTCCTCAGTCTGCCCCCGCTACCCTTCTTCAGCCTCAGCAAATGTTTACTTTGGGCCAAGCACTGAGGACATGATGAACGAGACAGACATGAGGCTTCATGGTCCTTCACGGGCTGTCAAGGAATGCAGAGACTGACAGAGAGGCGCGCGGGTCGGGGAACGCAGATGGTAACACACAGGTGCCCAGACCATTCGTGATGAGGCGTGACCTTGTCTGGGAGCAGGCGTGGATTAGGAAACCTGCCAGGGAAGAGGTTTTGCTTGAGCTGAGTTCTGAGGGAGCAAAGATGGCACGAGAAAGCCATTCCAGGCCAAGGGAGCAGCCTGTGCCAAGAGCTGGAGGTGAGTTTGAGTCTTGCTACTCAAAAGGTGGCCTGTGGACTCGCGACAGTCAAACCGCTCCTGACTAGTCTGTGATAAAATAATTATAAAACGTGAGAGTAGGTTTTTATAGACTTTTGGAGCCATCTGACAGATCAATTTTGTATCTGTTGACTCTAATAATCCAACATTAGACTAGTACTTTGTGTGTCTGTTTTTGTTTCGTTTTTCTAAGAATTCATTTTTAGAGTATTTTACAAGAGTATTAGTTCTTGACAGATTTTTAAACAACTGGTCTTTCACCATAGATAGTATGAGAAGCGCTGTTAGAGACATTGGCAGGTGGCCAGTGGGGCTGAAGCAGAGAGAGGGCAGGGAGGCACCTTATGCCACACCCACTCCACTGCTCACCCAGCATGCCTTCGTTCCTGCTCTGCCAGAGGGACTCCTACACACCCCTCAAAGCCCAGCCCTAACATGACCTCCTCCTCTGGCTTCCCATGGTCCCCGGGACAGCCCTCAACCTAGTGCCAATCACACTGCCATTGTTGGGGGCAGGAGCTCTTTCCCCATGGACTGGGGATTCCTCAAGGGTAGGGCTGTGTTTGGTTTCTATCCAGAAAGGAAGGGAGTGAAGAGGCGAGAGGCATACCCCTGTTGCAAACCTCCCCAAGAAAGGGGATCTAGAATCTTCCCTTTCTACTCGGTCATTCAACTAAGGCCACACACAGCTGGAGTTCTTAGCTCAAGAAGAAGGGCTGAGGTAGAGTCCAGGGGTGAGCATAGGGTGGGTACACCCAGTCCCCTTCCCCCTCACACTACCCCCTAACCTCTTCTCCTGGAGGCCTGCCCAAAGAGAGCCTTCTGCTGAGGGAAAGGGAGCCAAGCCAAAAGAGAGAAGCCTTAGCCCTGTCTCATACTACCTCTACTCCCTTTTCCTCTTGAGGTTCTCTGGGTACCTCTCAGGTACCCGCCCCGACTCCTGCAGTGTCAACGAGGCAGAATATTTTCTCTTCCTCCTTTAACCCCACCTACTGGGTCAATTCCGCCACCACCCCACTCCAGTCCTATCAGGCTGAATGAAATCCCCCAAGACTGCTGTGTGCTGATGGGCTCCTGGCTGAGACAGCTGCCTAGGGACCCCTGTGGGCAAGAAGACACAGCAGAGAATTCCTGGGTCAACTCTTAGTGCTGCCAATTTCTTGCTGTGTGATCTTAGGCAATTCACGATCCCTCTCTGGGCCTCAGAGTCCCCCACAAGTAAAGCTGGGACCATAAATTCCCTCTCCAAAGGTTTGTGGCAAGGATTAAATTATATCCTCATGTCCAATAGTTTGAGAAGTTATTTAGTTATTGAGACGTGGACTTGAGCAGAAGTTGGGTTTGTCCCTGTAACTGAAGACTGGTCTTCAGTGCCTGGAGTCTGCAGGGCCCTAGTGAGGCCCCAAGGAGACAGTGTGGTCCAGGGTCTGCCAAGTTGTCAAGAGGCCACTTGGCCTAAAATTCAAACCCTACTTCACCCCCTCCCCCAACTTTGAGAGTTTTGGTATCCATTCAGTTCTTATAAAAATAAAACTGAAGTTAAATTTAAAGAAAACATTTTAAGCCAAATATTGGCAGAGGATTCTTCACAGATCTCTTGCTTTTCTGCATGTCTTGCATGCAGAGGCGCTGACTGTCTGTTCTGGGCCATCTCGTAAAACGAAAACCTTGGATAGTGTTTCCTTCTGGAGCAGGGAGGGTATACTCAGTGTCCATTATAAAAGAATTCATTTTTAGAGTATTTTACAAAAGTATTAGTTCTTGACGGATTTTTGGATTCTCTAAATTGGAACTCCTGTCTTGAAAAACACCCCACGGTATGTGGAGGTGTTATCTGGCATTTACTGCATCCCTCTGTGGGAACTGGAGTGTGAGAACCAGGGCAAGAAAATGTAGATACGCTGGCTGCTGTGAGGAATAATGTCTTTTGTTTCTGACCCAGGAGGCTTGTGTCTTCTGCCAGGGTCCATGAAACTGGCAGGCTAACGTGTTAGCTTCCATGTAGGATAACGGTTCAGGCACTTTCACAGTTCTTGACATCAAAAAGGCAAAATTTATACCCACGTGTTTGGAAGAAATTATAAAAGAGAAAGATTCAAAAGCACCAAATTATCTGGTCCATTACAAAAAGGAAGAGAGGAGAGCAAGGTGGGCAGAACATATGTTTTGGACACATTAGGACCTAGGTTCGAATCTCATCCCCACAAAACATACGTGGTATCAATGTCACAAAGGTGTCTGGCTGGCTGTGGGGACTGCGATCTAACGTGCACATGCCTATCCAAGCCATGGGTCCTGCCACAGGGCTGTGTCCCCCAAAGCTGGTGCTTCTTTCTAATTTGTCTATGGTGTGGGCTGGAGGTGGGGGGAGGGAAAGCACAAAATGCACATGCGAATACGGTATAGACTTGTCATTATTTACATGTCATTATTTGAGCGCGTGGGCCAGTGGCCTAACTTCTCCAAACTTCAGTTTTCTTGCCTATAAAATGAGGACAAAGGTCCCATTTCCCACAGAATAGTTTATGAATTTGGAGAAATAATCTATCAAAACACCCGAGCATAACATCTGCCATGCAGGTGGCACTCGAGTATGGAAAATATTATTACTAATCACAAACAATAAAATGCCACAAAGTTTAAAATTTAAAATACTATATAAAGGGGCCGACAGATGAACTGGTTTGGGTAAAATATAGGAGACTGGACTAGATGGTAAGGGGCTATATATTCAGGTAAACTAGCCAAAGAACGCTGCCTGCATCACTTACTGGCCAAATAGTCTCCGGCAAGAAGTGGCTTCACCACGGGAAGCCTCCATTTCCTCACCTGTGACATGGGATGATAACAGCACCTGCCTTAGAGCACATGGACTTTTCACTGGAAGGACATCCTGGTGCCAGCCCACGCTAGGTATTCATTCATCCACGAGGTGTTCCCATCCCCACTATCCACCCGCAAAGTCTACCTTGAGGAGCTCAGGTGCCTGCTTCTTGAGTTTCTCCATCTTCCACTCGTTCTCGCAGGGGTTGAGCGAGGAGGGCGGCGCTGTGCAGGAGCAGCGGCAGTCGGTCCCGGAGCTCACGGTCTCCACGGTGTAGAAGTCCTCCACCCGTGCCCGCCCGCTGCGCACCCGGCTGCACGCGTCCTTGCTCAGCGGCCGCATGATGCACTTGCAGCGGCAGTCGGAGCCCTCCGAGGTCATCCGCACCTGGTCCACGTCGCCAAACACCTGCAAGACAGGCTTGGGTGAGTCACAGGCCAGTGCTGGGGAGAGGGGGATAGGACAGGAGAGGTGGAGAAGGAGACAGGTAGCAGAAAACAACGTCCCTGGCCTTTGGGGGCACCCTTAGAGTAGGCTGAGAAGCCAGCAGCCTTTGCAAGGAAGGAAATAGAGGCATTATAATAACAACAACAAATAAAATATTAATGGCTGCTGTAGAGAACAATTTGGCTGTTCCTCAAATGGGGTTAAACATAGACTTATGGTGTGTGTGTGGGGGTACTAGACTTATGGTGGGGGGAATCACTTCATAAGTTAAATAAATGTCTAACCACTGTGCTGTATACCTGAAACTAATGTAACATTGACTGTCAACTGTAACTGAAAATGGATGAATAAAGTAAGGATATAATAAACAAAATTACAACATGACCCGGTAATTCTATTTCTAGGTATATACCCAAAAGAATTGGAGTATTCAAACAAAGACCTGAACATGAATGTTCATAGCAGCATGATTCACAATAGCCACAAGAAGGGAATACCTCAAATGTCTATCAACTGATGAATGGATAAACCACATGTAGTACATCTATGCAATGGAATATTCTTCAGCCATAAAAAGGAATGAAGTACTGATACATGCTACAGTGTGAATGAGCCTTGAAAACACGGTGCTAAATGAAGGAAGCCAGACACAAAAGGCTATGTATTGTATGATTCCATTTATATCCATAGAGACAGAAAGCAGAGTAGCAGCTGCCAGGATTTAGTGGGAGGGAGAAATGGGGAGTGGCTGCTTAATTCGTATGGGGTTTCCTTTTGGAGTAATAAAAATGTGATAAAAATGTTCTGGAACTAGACAGTGGTGATGGCTGCACTAAGAGCTACCGAATTGTATACTTTAAAGTGGTTAAAGTGGTAAAAATTGTTTTATGTATATTTTACCACAATAGTAAAAAATATGAATGGAAACCTTTTATTGGGCACTTACTACATCCCAGGTTTCACACGCATCACACCCTTTAATAATATCTGCGTATGGAGGGGGTGATTTGTCATCTCCAAAGTCCCTACTGTGTGAGCTGTCACCCTCCGCTCAACCCCTCCTCCTGCCACCCTTTCCTTCACTCCCCTGCAGCCTCAGGGCCTTTGCAGATATGGTGCCCTCATCCTGAAACCCTATCCCCTATATTCCCTTGGCTCATTACATCACATTACTTACACATCACCTCCTCCAAGAAGCCTTCCCCAGCCACCCACCTCCCATAACTCTCTGTCCCCGTATCTAGTGACTTTGTGTTTCTTTATTGCACCTATTACCATCTGAAATATTATATCTGTGTTTGCTTATTTTTTGTCTCCCTTCTCCTGGGGTTTTGTCTAGTTCCCTCCTATATCCGTAGAATAGTGCCCGCCTGGCCTGTAGTAGGAGCTCTGTAAATGTCTGTTGGATGAATGAGCCTGCATTTTGCAGACATGTGAGAGCGCAGGGCTAAGAACATAGTGTGCAGAGCTTGGGATAGTAACTGTGAGTTTGTGGGCAACTCAACCTTTCTGTGCCTGTTTCCTCATTTGTAAAATAGGCTCCTGCCTCGCAGAGTCGTCGTGAAGATTAAATAGGTTAATATAGGTAAAGAACAGAGCCTAGCACATAGTGAGTGTGCCTTAAGTTTGAGCCATTATTAATACAGCTAAAGAAACGGGGGCTCAGAGAGGTGAAATCATAGGTCCAGGTCACATGGCTTTGACTGGGAAGATCAAGCTGTGGATCTGACTCCAGATCAAAATCACTGGTCTATGTTGCTTTTCCTACAGATCTGTTCCTCTATACCTGTGTCACCTTAAACAGGTTACACAACCTTTCTGAGCTTCATCCTCTCAGTGGTAAAATGGATGACTCTCCATATTCACCTCCCCATAGTGAGGCTCAAATGAAATAACATGACCTCGATTTTAGTGGTCCCCCCACCTTTTTCTTTCAATCCCACCCTGGGATGCCACACACCCAGCTGTGGTCATTGGTTACTGGGGGCAGCAGGGCTTTGTGCCTGAAGGAGTCAGTTCAGTGAGATCAGCGCCAGGTGCCAGGCTCAGTCACCGCCTCTGGCCTGCCTTGCCCTGACACACCAGCTGGGTTCTGGGAGCCCCAAACAACCACTCCTCCCCTAGCTGGCTCAGCCAGCCCACTCTGAGCTCCAGGCTCTTGGGACATAGTTCTTCACAGCCCGATCAACAAACAAATACCCCAGACCCATGGCTACCCAGCTCTTGCTGAAGTCACTAAGAGACTACTGAGTTCTGGGCTTTCTGCCACGCCCCAGCACCCATGAGTGTCTCAGAGCCCTCTGAGGAAGAGCTGTAGACACTCCATGTCTGCTTTGAGCCTGCAGACACCTATGTGAGCCCCTGGCCTCTGCCAGGCTCTGGGGGATAGCTGGAGGTGTAGAAGAAACAGACTGAGGTACATTCTTGACCTTTTCAGAAATGAGAGAAGCTGGCACAGGGAGCGTTGAGAGCACAGAGAAAGGTACCCACAAAGACTACTCGGAGGACACTCCTGAGGGACATCTTTAAGGCAGAGCAGGACATTCCAGGGAGAGCAGATCAGACATGCGAAGACAAGCAAAGGCCTGGCATCTTGGGGGCCTGAAAGAGGCTCATTCTGGCTGATACTTGCAGGGAGCCTAGGGTGGCAGGAGGTCAGGCTGGGGGTGGCAGAGCCCAGCTCGTGGAGGGCCCTCAATGCTGGCTGAGGATCTTGGCTTCTTTCCGAAAACACTGGGGCATCGTGGAAGGGTTTTAACCAGGGGAAGCCAGATCAAATCTGCATCATGGGAAGCTCACTCAGTTGCTTTGTTGATAGATGGTGGATGGAGGAGGCAAGCCTGAGGCGCTGAGTCCAGAGAGGAGACATTTATTGAGAACTCACCCAGTCCTGGGGAAGTGTGGAGCAGTGGTTAGGAACACAGCCATGGGCCACCTATAGCTGCTCTTGGGTGGATGACTTAATCTCTCTGTGCCTCAGTTTCCTATCTGTAAAATGAGGGTACTACTCGTGCCTACCCAACAAAGAACTGTGTGAGGACCAAGAGAGATGGAATACCAGGAATATGCTGAGCCCAGCCCAGGAGCACACACAGCGGTCGTATACAGCTGTTATTAGTACATCACTAATCCTGAAAGGGAGCTGTTTAGCCTATTGTTTCTCCACATGGCTGGATTGGTAGATATGTTAGCAGTGTCCTACAGATGAGAGCGCTGGGGTCATCAAATGACCAATTCAAAGGCCCCTTAGGGATGAAGAAGGTGGTGAAGGGGGCAGCTGTGGGTGGAAGCTTTACCCTGGGTTCTCTATAGGCGAAGTGTATTGTGGGCACTGCGGGGCAATCTTCCTCTGGCCGTGAACGCTGCCAGCCAGGCTCGGGGTCCTGAACATTCATTCTTTAGACCACCACTAGTACCTTAAGTCTGCCTTCTCTTGAAGACTCCTGGGCCCCCTTCCCACCTCTGCTGGGACCCCAAGAGGGGTTAAGAGCCCGGTGGGTGGATATGGGTGTATTCTGTGTGGTCAGGCCAGAGAGGCCTCTTAGGGACCCACGCATCAGCCCAACACCCTCCCCCAGCAGCAGCAGCCTCCACATCAGACTGCAACATTCCTTCCCTCCTCAGATGAGGTGCTATGTCCTGATGGGGGCGGCCAAGGCCCTGACCAGCCAGGCCAGGAGTGGAAGAGGGCCTCTGCTCCCAGCCCCAGTTGCCAGGAGCCCAGGCAGGACCCTGTCTTCATGGTGTGTGACCGGAGGAGACAGAGCACCGTGGTGAGGAGCCAAGCCTGGACTCAAACCCCAGCTCCCGCATCTCCCTGCGTGGCCTTTTCCCCTCTGAGCCCCAGCTTCCTCCTCTGCAAAACGGGGAGGACGACAGTCCTTTCCTCGTAAACTTGTCCTGAGGCGCGAACGGGCCAATGCATGCTGAGCGCCTGGCAGCAAGCCTGGCACAGAGTAAATGCTGTCTGAGTGGCGCTTGCTATTCAAGTTGCTGCCAACAACCCTCCCTCGCATTTGCACATTATTGTCTACCTTTGCTCTCGCCACAACCCCATCTGAGAGAGGAGAAATCTGAGCATCAGAGGAGACTAGGGGCCTGCCCAGGGTCACACAGCGCAGCCTGACTTCAAGATTTGGTTTACATGCTGCTCCCCCCGTAGCTCCCATGTCACCGGGCAAGGGCTTCTCCACCAGCTGGGACAGAGAAGGGAGCCCGGGGTGGGGCCCTGGGGGAGCACAGGACCTGGGACTCCCACCGGGCCTGGCCCATCCCTTCCTTGGCGTGAGGGCTGGACTTGCTGCCAAGCAAGAAAGTCCTAGCCTCAGTCCCCATCGCTCTGCAGGCTCGCTCAGCACACACTGCTGCCAAAGCCCCCAGAGGTGTAGGTGGATTGTGTTTAAAAAGGTCCCTAGGTATTTGCAAGGAAATCTCAAAATAAGATGGTGAGAGGGCCGTACGTGAGATTTTTTTCTGAAGGGAGATGGATAAATCTGGCCAGAATTGAGAGGAGGGAGATTAAAGCTGCGAAATGTTCTAGAAATGGAACAGGTTCGAATTGTGTCACCTTGAGGTTGAGTCTTCCCTCTTCTCTGATGGCCAGCCCCAACTCACTGAGAGACAGTTTTCATGTCCTGCAGGCAAAGACCTCCCCCAGAGCCCACTGCCAGTGGAACACCTCCCCCTGGGTGCTCACAGGCACCCCAAACTTAATCCATCTGTAACTGGACCCAGCATCGTCTCCTCAACCCACGTCTACCTACCCTCCTGCCCAACCCAGAGCTCCGAGCCTCCTTCTTACTCCGGAGAACCCATCACTCACGTTCTTGATTCTTCACCTGAAGTATTTCCCATCCCTCTCCCTTGCTCTCCACTCCATGAGTTCAGCCTGAGTTCAGGCCACACCAACTGCTACCTGCATAACACAGCAGCCTCCTCTCTGCTGGGTTAATCTTTCAAAGGCTCCTCTTTGATGATCTGCTACTCTCTTGCTCTATGAACCTCCGTGGCTCTGTCACCTCCATGAGTTCTCAACTAGAAGATGTGCCTCAGAATTAGCTGGGGTGCTCATGGAAAACGCAGATGCCCTGGCCAAGCTCTACACCCCTGGACTCAGACTCTCAGGCTCCTCAGGCCATCTAGATGCCCACTCATTGAAGGCTGAGAACCCTTGGACCTCAGAATTCAAACTCTTCAAGCTCCCTGTTCAGGATATTTGAGCGGCCCCATCCTGACTCTATTGCCCCTCAGTGTTCAAGTCTGTCACATGGGGAGGGGCCAATGAGTGTTGGCAAGAGGGTTGTGTAAGATCCTGAATGCAAGGGTTAGGCACAGGGGTTGGCACACAGGATGTTCCCGGGTGTCCCAGCCAACGAGAGTACCTTCCCTGTAAGAGACCCATGGGACCTCGCCCGGCCCACTCTGTGTGCAGGACTCCAGCACTGTGCATCCCTTGCCTGCTCCGGAGCCTGTTTCCAATTACACCCACAGGCGGAAACTCCCAGAGCGAAGGCACAGCAACACCTAAGCCCCAGGGACCAGTCTGGCCTGGAACATCTGATCCCGCCCGAGACAACACCGCACACTTGCTCCAGCCCCTCCTGCTCCCTTGGCCTTCTTCCCTCAAGTCTTGGCTCTCCCCTGTCCTCGGGCCCCGGCAGGGGTGAACAAAGAACCCCTTCCCATATGTGAATGCGTGGAAGTGAGGTGCCTGCACCCCTTTCGCAGGTGGGGAAACTGAGGTACGATCAGGCATTCTCAGCCACATTCCAAGGACACAGTACAAAGAGCAGGTTCCCCGAGGTCTCTGGTGCCATGTCTGGGTTTCGTGTGGTTACTCGCCTGTCCATCTCAGCCTCCATGCTGGGGAGCCCCTCAGAAATGCCAGGGGAGCTGTGAACTACCTCTCTCATTATCAAGCTGGACAAAGCACTTCCTTAGATGGAAACTCCAAATAGTGTTTAGGAAAGCCCTTACTATAAACACAAAATTAACACTCGCTGAGAGGAGCTGGCAGAGACCAAAGAATTCTGTGGTGAGCACTGGGGTTAAGCTACCCCTTGTCCCTCAGAAAGTACTGGACAGGAGGGGAGGCTGGACATCCTAGGAGCAGGAAGCCTGAAGAGGAGCCAGCTTAACCCATTAGAGCCCTAGATAGACTTCAAGTCCCAGGCCCTCTTAAGGGCTCCCCTCAACCTGCAAAAATAGGACAGACTTGGAGAGGAAAGAGGGCTGTTACACAGAGGGAGAGGGTGATAATGAAAACAGCTCTCTCTCTGCAGAGCCAGAGGAGTCTAGCTGTGCTGAGGAATGCGGAGTAAATTCACCCATCACTTGATTTTTATTTTTCCCAGCTGGCTGAAGCCGTGTGGAGTGGGAGGTGTCTGGGGGAGGGCTGTACTGAGTCCCCCAGCTGCTTCATTCTCCAGACTCTAGGATGTGCCTCCCCACTAGTCTCAGCTTGCCCTGGGACAACTAAACACACACACACACACACACACACACACACACACACACACACGCACACACGCGCGGGCGCGCGCGCGCACACCCAACCTAGCAAGTGTCTGGCTGCCTCACTATAAACAGGGTCGCACGCACACACACACGCGCGCGCGCACACCCAACCTAGCAAGTGTTTGGCTGACTCACTACATAAACAGGGTGTTGGGTTTTCTTTGTCTTTGCTTTGTGTTAAGTGCTAGCCCTCCCCCACAAACTCTAAAGTCCTCTGTGTGGCTCAGAGGGTGCCTAAGACCAAACATTCCTCCAAGCCAGAGAAATGAGAGGGGCAAAACAATGATCAGGTTATCTGGGGGGTTTTGTTCACTTGTTCCCTTACCTGAGCCAGGTCAGGGAATCCTAAAAGGCCCTATATGGAGAGGAAGTTGAGGAGACATTGTTATTCGGATGGGGAAACTGAAGCCCAGCAATAGGCTAGTGACTTGCCCAAGGTCACACAGCCAAAGAACAACAAAGGGCCAGAACCTAGGTGTTTTGATTCACAAGCCAGCTGCCTCTGTATATCTCCTAGTTTCCCCATCTGTAAAATGGCGATGTTGCTCATTCCCTTCTTGTCTTTGGAGCACATGGTCAGGACTGCAGCCCACTTGTTTTCACACTCTGAGCTGAATCTGGGTCTGCCAGTGCCCACTGCTCATAATCTTACCATGTGGTGAGTGGCTTCTGCCCTTTACCTGCCTGTGGACAGGGCAGCCTCACCTTCTACCCAGGAAAGAGGCTGAAGAGACATCAAGAGAAACCATTCCTTTGCTTTCATGCTCCATGAGCAGGGTCCTCTCTCCCTCCTGCCCGCTACTAACCCCAGTCCAGTCCTCATCCTCACTGGGTCATTTCCAGAATGCCCTCAAGGGACCCATGTTCTGACTGACCATTCATGCTTGCTCTCTCTACATTCTGGATCTCACCTCTTTCAGGGTCCCTGTGGTGAGACTTTCATAATCAGAGTATCTTTTATTGGGTACCTATTAAGTGCCAGGCGAGGTGCTAAACACTTTCCAGGCATGCTCTCCCTAACCTAGACGTCATCGATGCAGTGTAGGAACCATTATTCTTTCCGTATTTACAAGTGAGGAAATGAAGGCTCAGAGAGGTAAAGACGAAAGGTCACCCGGCTGAGAGGTGGAGGTGGGATTTGAATCCAGGTGTGCTGGACACCAGAACAGATCGTTTAAGCCACAACTGAAAACAGCTCAGGTCACTTCTGGAGACACCGTGTCCTCCAGAGAGTGCGTCAAGTCCCTGGTAGGCAAGTGACCAGTTCAGCTGGGTTCACTGGGGAGGGACTCTGGGTCCCCCTCATGGCTTGAAAGCCTTAGCCCAAGGGCTAATGCAAACCTAGGAGTCGCTGGGCAGCAGTTACCCAGAGGTCTGCCGGCGTGTGGGTCAGTTTTCCATGGAAACTTTGAACCAGCTCTCCAGGCTCCCTCTGCTCAGCGCTCCCGAGAATCCCTACGCCCGGCATCTCCCGTCTGCGCCCGCTCTCCCTGACTGTGGGATTTAGAGCTAACCGACATCCCGCTCCGGACTGGGTCCCAGCACCCCTTCTTCAGGCTCCGGGTCCTAAACACCACTATCATTTCCAGCATTTCTTCCCCTACGCGCTCCTCTCCCAGGGTCGTGGACCCAGCGGCGTCCGTGTTTTAAGACCAAGATCTGGGCTCTCCCTCTCCAAGTCCTCGGCTCCCGGCCTCAGGCACCCTCTTTGGCGCGTACCCCCAGCCACAGCGCCCCCTCGCGCCCAGCTCCCCACCGAGCTGCGCCCCGGTCCGAGGGCCGCGCGTACCTTACTGTCGGCGCGCGCCGAGCCCACGCGCAGCAGCAGCAGCGGCAGCAGGA